TTCTGGGAGAAAATACCTCCATTCCTTTCAAAATGCATGGATTTTGGCCAGAAACAGCCAACACATATCTGGATAAATAACTTCCTTCAGATGAATACTCAGAACCACAGAAACTTCAAATGAAGCTCAAAAGCAACTCACACAGCATCTAGATATTTAATTCAGACTGATGTGGATCTAAAGTGACCTATTCCATAGTGATTTAGTTGATCTGGATGTTAAAATTCCCTGAAGATGTCCATGGAAAGCAGTTAATGAAAAGATCTTTGTAAACCAACAGGTCCTTCCTCAAAACTTTTACATAAATTGTCCCATTTTATTCCTAAAATTGTCCCATTTTACTCCTGATAAAAGCTCGATTTCTCTAACTTTGACATGAAGGAGTGATTTTTGCTGTTCTTTACCAAGAACATTACTTTACACTTGTATGTGATTTGCACATCATGTCATTAGGTCCAGGTAGAAAAACCGCTGAACTAAAAGGAAAGTAAAACAAAGTAAAAAATTTACTTTCAATATAATAATGCTGAGGTTAATCAAGACATTGTTTTCCAAACATAAGCATTCTCCTAAGACTGGAGAAGGCCACTTTTTGAGGACAGGTGATGAGTAAATAGACCATCTACTACCCTGAGGCTGGGTATTAAGATGGTCACAAGTTTCATTAAGTTTCACAGTCTGTCTTGCATCCAACATAAGCATAGAGAAACGTATCTATATAAATGAGCATATTGCAATTCACACCTCAGTTTTTACATCTATTTGGATCAAGGTTGGATTTAAAGCAGCAACTGAATACAGTTTCACATCTGGTCTTCTGAAATAACTCTTCTCTGCTGCACAATCTATTGATACTTCTATAGACTGACTCTCCTTTAGAGACCTTGCATCCAGAATGTCTGTCAAGGTTTACAAGGAGGGTTGGATTACTCAGAATAAAGCAGTTCTGTCAATTCTGCATTGTCTGGAGAAAAAAAACCAAACAAGTAGAAGGTGGTCATTTCACCACATGAACTGAACATCTTTCTGAGAACAGGTGTTATAAGCAGCTGCTGAGAAAAGGCAATGGGAGAGGTACTGCTGCATGGCATATTTTTGCCTTTCTGTTTATTGTGGAATTATGCTACATTGCACCCCATTTGGCTGAGAGAAGTTGTACAGGAGAGGGAGCAACATAGGAGGCTGTTGGAAGCTGGACTTGTAACACAGCTTTAAGTGGATGGAGAGGACATTCAAATTAGGATCATTCATGTCAGCCACATGCAGAGAAGGAGAAAACTCCCATGATTTTTAGTGTTATTTTCCTCAGAAAATATGGTGCAATAGAGAATTTCTCATCAGCATGTCTTTCCCCATATCATAAGGGTGAGAGTCATACTGCACTTGAGAAAATATTTTAAACCTTACTGGTTTTACTAAGCTGTAAGGGTAGCTAACAACATGTTAACACAGATGGTTGCAGACAGACCAAACATCTTCTCTGTGCTTTTAAGTATCTGAACTATGAAAGAGGCCACATTTTAGCAGTTTATGTGACAGAACAGATAAATTCACTAACATGATTTTTGGACTGGAGGTGACTTCTGTCCATCCAGATTAGATAGAAGAAAAAGACTTTTCTGTACCTGCATAGAGCAGATATATCCTAAGGCACAAAACTACCTCTATTATAAACTACCTCTATTTACACCCTGAACCAATTTCCACTTTATAGCTAAAGCAACAAATTACTTACTCACAAAGCTGACTTTGCAGCCAAATATGTTCATTGATAACAACAAGTGAACTGATCTTTTCTTTGCATCACAGTAGGAGAAACTAAGGATCAATTATTCTTACCTACCCTTGATAGCCTATTGAGTTTAAAGACATACAGACACCAGTGAGTCCTACTAACCAAAAGACACAAAGTTTATAGGATATTCACATGCCAAACATGACATTTATATCTGAATAAGCATTTGAAAGATAACAAGCTCTGGAGACTGTTAGAGATTAGTGTAAGGAAAAAGAAAGGGAAAAGGGAGTCTAAAAAGATTGCAACAATGGCTGATTCTATTCACAAGTAAAAGAAAAACATTTCTGTAAGAGACGTTATTTCAAGATACAATCAGTGCATGATGTAGGAAAAGGAATAGAGTTTGTCCTTTCAAAGACTTTGATTTGTGCAGTTCCCTGATTTTTAAAAAGTTGTTCACACATGTTTAGATAACCTCTCTGCATACCTACTACTTGACAGCTGTTCTGGATACAGAAATGCAATGTGAATCCTTCATTTTGCCTTCTCTCACCTCCAAGTTTCTGGTGGATGAATTCCCTCTAAGCCTGGCCCTGTTCTGACCCATTGCTTCAGTTTGATCTCCCTCCTCTCCTCCCCTTCCAGCTTGAGTAACAAAACAAAAGCTTTGGAGTGAAGCTGCCCAGCAGAAAAATCTCCAGGCAAGAAAGTTGGAGGGAAGATAATGGTCAGTGTCAAACCAATCTCAAAGTAATGGAAGGAGAGGGAAAGGGGAGTTTCAATCTCTCCTAGTAAAAGTTGTATTGATTCAATTCTGTCCTTTTAACTGAAATAGCTGGCTGCCTCCAGTGAAGCCAGCTTTGTCTTCATTCTGGTCTGTTTTCTACTTATTGGAAAGTAGAGAATGATTGAATCAGAATAACATAGTCCCTAGTCTGGGACACAGGATAAAATCAGGTTTCTCTCTGACCTGCCAGTTGTTGAATACTGTAATGATATAGCTTAGGCTCGATGATGGCAAAGGTCTTTTCCAACCTAGTTAATTCTGTGACTCAGTTTATTCAGTAAAACTAAGCAGATTGACTGGGTTCTCCTGTTTTCTCATGGAGATGAGGGCAAGTCAGGCTCTTCTTCACTATAACTGCACTAAAATCTGTGGCGTTGTAGTAAGTTAGCACCTAAGGATTTGTCCTCTATCTGTCCTTTCTGCCCTGAAATAGCAAACATCAGGCATGCTGTCATTTCTTTCAGTGATATTTGCAGTATAAGTCAATGTTATCAGGGATGTTAAGACAAGCATGTTAAGCAGTCAGAAAGCCTAATTATGGGAACAGACTTGTTTCAGCATATGACCCATGACCTACCTGCATGTGGTAGATGTGGAGGACTCATTGCTTATTTTGGTTTCCAGATCAACGCTGGCAGTTTAAATGTGCTCCTCCTTGGATATGAACAGAACACCTTTCCTTGCAATCAGTAGGTGAACAACAAATCACTAGTTCTGAATACACTATAAAAAATATTCCTTAACCATTTGGGGCAGAATTGTTGTTTAATGTAGTGGAGGTACCCAAACATGGAAAAGCTGATTAGCACATATCAGCCTCAGGGGAACTGGAAATCCCTCAAGCTACCAGAGTTACTCAGACTGCAATTGTAAATAAATCAATTGTACATTATAAAGTTTAATCTTTTTACATTTAGGGATTGGTTTATGTTGCTAAGTTTCACTTTTGAGTGAAATTATTATCATATGAGAAAATGTCATGACACTAATGGGTGCATTAGAACAAAAAGTTGTGCTTAAATTGATAGATCATCTTGAACTTATTATTATTATTAAAATCAGTGTAATTTGTACCAGGAGGATTTTTTAAAAAGTGATTTAATAGAGCTGAAAGCACATAAAACCTTTTCCCACAAACTTAAGGACAATACCAGAGAGAAATCAGGAAAAGGCTCTAACTCTATATATGCTAAAAAAAGCAATATTGCATTTCAATCTTTTTTCCCTATTTGTTACCATATGTAATAAAGCTGAAGCTAATCCATAATCCATGATGACTTTTTTTACATGTCACAAATGTTACACAGAGTATTAAATGTTATACAGAGTATTAAAAACCCCAAAAGTGAGCACTGCTATAAGGTAAATTACCCATTGGTTAGAATTGAAAAAGTAATTCCATAACCAGTACATTATATAGTAACAAAGCAAATATATATTCTCACCACATACAATTTGAGAGATGATTTATTTCAGTAGTTCAGTAACTATATAAGTACTAAAGATTTCAAATTTTATCAGCACTCTGAACAATTTTATGAGGTGATTATGTGAATCTACATCCATCAAAGATCCTATTCCATGATGAAAAGTTAATGTTCCAGGGAACTGGAGTGCTCCCCTTGGCTGTGTGATTCTGACTGAAAGCAGTTACCCAGCAAAAAGGATTGGTTTGGACTGACATGAGCAACCATAATGACAAAAGCAAGTATTTTTTAAGCAAGGGCTTCAGTGACTGAGTAGACATTTTGTGAAAAACTTGAAAAGTTGACAGTAAAAAATCTGTTATAACTGACCTGAAATAGCTTATTTCTATAAAATGTGAAAAACCTTCTTTTTTATAGAAATAAAAGTCCTAATAAATTAATGTGAAGCCCTCTTTGGGAGTAGATGAAATTATATGACTCATAAAGTAGAGAGCAAACAAGATTCTGAGCAAGCAACAGGAATTTTAAAACATATATTAATGATATATATTTTAAATACACACATTTAATGTTGGCATCTATGCCTCTTTTTTGAAGATGTACAACAGGCTTGATCCTAAAGCTCATCCTGTAATAACAGTGTATTGCATTTATCTGTGAAACAGACTTTTAAAACACAGATACTTATACAGAAGAAAACTCTAATTGCATCATAAATCAGAAAAGCAAAGCATTTTATAAACATGAACTGAACTGTTCAGTAGCACTGAACAGCTTTCAAAGGCAACTGACAGGTGTTTTGTTCACTATTTCAGCCTTTTTTTAAGGAACATCCTCTCACAGTTGTAAATTCATCGCGAAACAAAAATCTTATGCTAGCATCTACTTCTGTTTTCAATAACAAAGCAAAAGCAATAGAAGCAAAGCAGTGTTTTTAGTCTGTTACTTTCACTTTTTTCATTTCACAGCCCTAATAGCTGATGCTCTCTATTTTAGCAGATCAGACACCAAACCTACAAACAGCACAAACTGTGAGTGACCACTTTACCTTCTGAAAAATCAATCAGTCCCAGCAAATGAAGCAGCTTCAGAGATGCAAATATAATCACAACAATACCCACTGTTTGTAGTCCCTCCGACTCCCACTCGAGAGTCAACATTCTTCCAACAGGCAAATCATTCCAGTCTTCACACCGGTTTGCAATCAGAGGGAAATTAGAGGATTTTACCAAGAGTTTGCTTTGAAGAAATTTGCAGTGGTGTAAAGCACCACTATACCAAGCAGTGGCAGTTCAGCAGCCACTCTAGCTGAAATAAAGTATCAGATAAAGCCCTGCATCTCATGCTTCTGTGAGCATTTGCTTTCATCAGTAGCGAGTCCTCCTAGAAGGCTGAGGTGGACCACGAACCTCTGGGTATGACATTGTATCCGTGGAGCAGCTGCTGGAGGAACATCTGTGCCGAGCAGGAGACTTGGCTGTGTCAGTGCCAAGAAGAAAAGCTCTCTGGAAACTTGCACGAGGGAGCACGCTGCTACCAGAGCTCAGTGCTCCAGCGCTCCCAGACCCAGATGCTGCAGTTCTGCCCAGCTCCACAGCCTTTCCCCAGCTCCTCTTAGCACCATTTTTGTTAAGTTTGAGAAATGACAGTTTGCTAAAAACAGACATCTGTTTTCACGTGCTAAATGCTGCATGTCAGAAAACTACCGCCCTCTGCATTAGAAAGAACAATGATCAGAGAAACGCTGCCCCTTCCTCTTCTTAAGCATCACCAGAGTTTAATTAAATCTTCACTGAAAGTGAGAATAGGAATTAAAGAAATACACATCAGCATGATCAGTGCCACCAGCTAGCAAAATACAGTGCTGTCAAGGAGACATGCACTGCACAAACTCCTGATCCATAGCCAGGAAGAATGTATTCTTTATTGATTAAGAAACAAAACAATGCTTTTCTACCTCAGCACATGAACCTAGAAGTGCTGAACCCCAAACTCTGATATACATTAATGGGTATTCAGCATTTTCCTGGGAAGATCTTACCCAGGCTACACAAGAGGGGAAAAGAATCCCAGCTGATTTATTAGATAGTTTGTATAAAACTAATTGTCCTCTGTTTATTAATGTGATTACCAAGAGGATACCCAGTGTGAAGAATACGCTCTGAAGAATATTTATACAGTGCATGCATAATGAATACAAGGTTATGCCTAAATGCTTACCCTTGTGCACATCCTAAAAATTTAAATAAATCCTGTCCATTGCTATACAAAGCATAACAATAAGGGGAAGGGAAGCCTCAGAAAAAAAATATTTTAGACATTTTTACTAATTTAAATATAGGTTCTAACACTAAAAAAAATACATAAATTATGTCCAGTATCAACTATTCAGGTTGCTAATCTCTTTAGACAAGAAAAAAATGTTCTAACTATCAAGAAGTTCAGATATTTCTATTTTTGTTCAAAAAGTCATTATAATTTTAAATTAGCACAGCAAGTTGTAACATAAACAATCTGTTGTTTATGGGCTACCACGTAGAGAAAGAAAAATGTAATCCACAATTTATTATCAGCTTTTTTTTGGTTTTCTTTGAAGGCTGTACACATTGAAGGACAATGTAAACAGAACTCTAGAATCTATATATTTTTATTCATTCAAAAATGCATGTGTGTGCTTCAGTTAATTTTATGTTATATCTAGTCAATACAGAAGCAAGAATATTGTTTGATTTTACGCTTCTGGATATTTTATACTAGAATGTTGTGAGTTCTGTATTATTTATATATGCTCTCGGTCTGTGTCAGTTCACTTTCCTATTAACCTGTAAAGCTAAAACAATATCTTAAGAGGAAAGCACAGTAAAAATAAATCAAACCAAATACACTATCCCACATTTGCACCTTCCAAACATGTCATTACTTTTTACCTCATATTCCATATTAATGATTTAATAAATTTGCCTGTTAAGTTCTTCTCCTCTTAAAAGAAAACTAACATTTTGTTTCCTCTTCACGATTTCTAGGTACTCCATATAATCTTCTCCTTTTAAGGCTCTGACATGTTAATCTTGACCCCATTCTCATCCCTGGCTTCTATTTTTTCCTTGAGGTTATACCTACATAGGCTTTTCTTTTTCTCAAATTTGTGTTGTTTTTCTTCAATGACGAAGCATGAACAAACATTTACAATATTGTAGAAACAATAATCCTAATATAATGCCACACTCACACTACAGTGGTGAAAGAGGCCTTATGGGCCTTATGTATATCTAACAAATGGTCTCATGGAAATTATTAAAATGGAGAAATCTGTCAGTCACATTCTCCTTTCACACAGTAGTTTCAAGCTACCTTGTGTTCTTGAGCTGCCCATTTTGGGAGCAGAGGCCCTTATACTCCACCAGTGAAGGTGCCAACCCACTTACAAGTGAAAGCCACCCAGCAAGAATGGTCCCAGACACAGCCAAGGTTTTGTTTTCTGCTTTTACGCAAGAAGAAAGGCCTGGACCTCTTAAAAAAAGACAAAAAGGAGAAAAATTATGAATTTGATGAGTTTTAGGGGCCAGTTCTACCTGCACAGCAAACGAGTTACAGAAGAATTTTTAAATTAAAAAAAAAATAAATAAGCTGAGAACATCCATTTGAATTAATGTAACTGATTACTGACTACACAGAATACCTCCTTAAAAAAAGCAATAGACTTTTCCTGTTATTTCTCATTATAGTTCTTTAAGTTAGGGGAACATACACTGAATTTGTGAGTCTCCAAGCCTTAACCCTAGAAAGTAAAGCAGCAAGGATAAAAAATGTGGAGAAGGAAGTGATACATGAAATCTTTCCTGCAATATGCCATGCAACAGATTAAAACATCAATATTACTTAGAGATGTGAAATCTTCTGGAAAATGTTCAATTAAAAAAATTCTATGCCCCAAAACATTTGAAAATTTAATCAATCTTGAATAAGCAGATAATAACATTCTATGTACAGTAACTCTTTGTATGCTTATCCTTCTAAATTCAAACTCCATTGCAATTTCTCTTACACACTTCTTGTTTTTTTCAGTAATTTGAAAACAAATATTTGTCTGAAACATTCTTATGTGGTGCCTGTATTGACTGTACAAACAAATTTTAAGAATTGTTGAAAGAAAAAGAATTTTTCTATAATGTATCCCTCCTGGACACAAAAGGAAACACCATTTTTTTACATAAAATTGAAAAAAAACCAAAAAACCTAGGGGATGACATAATATCCAAGCACTGTTCTGGCTTGTTCTCTTTCCCTAAATCCAGTTTTAATTTTTGACTTTGCAAGGCCTTCTGGTGGTGATTGAGCAATACATTTAAGTTTGCAGAAACTTCCTTGTGATTCTTCACTATGTTGCCCAGAGGGAAAAATAAAAGGACTAGAATTTGTTATGAAGCTATCCCACCTAAACATTGCATCTTCCACTGTCCTTAAATTCTTCTCCACTAAGACCTGAAGCAGACAAGGAAGGAGACACAGTGGGGTAGCCCTGCATGTTAGGGAGAGTCTTGATTATCTAGAGTTTAAGGATGGTGACAATAGGGTGGAGTGTTTATGGGTGAGAATGAGGAGAAAGGCCAGGAGGGCAGATACCACGGTGGGAGTCTGCTACAGAACACCTTATGATGATGAAGAGGCACACAGAATGTTCTGTAAGCAGCTGGGAGAAGTATCATGATTGCTAGCCCTTGTTTTCATGGAAGACCTTAACTTGCCAAATGTCTCCTAGAAATACCACACAGCAGTGAGCAGACAGTCTACAAGGCTCTGTGTGGCAGATAACTTCCTGACACAGCTGGTGATGAAGATGATGAGGGGAGATGTCCCACTGCTGAGTAATGGGGTGCTTGCAGGCCACCTCAGGGACAGCAGTTGGGAAACAGAAATTCTCATAAAACAATTTAAGAATTGTGAAATTGTGAAATTCTCAGAAAACTCTGGAGGGACCTCAGCAGAAAGACCATCTTGGATTTCTGGACAGACACTGGCTTGATAAGGTTGAAAAAATCCTGTTGCAGACAGTCCTAAAGGGCAAAGGGATGCAGGGAGGCTGGAAGTGCCCCAAGGAAGCAATATTACAGTCAGTAGGCTGCTCCCTCTGTGCTAAAAGATGAGCTGGTGGGGAGACAACTGGCCTGGTTGAGCAGAGAGCTTTGGCTGGAACTCAGGACCTCTGCAGAAAAAAAAATACACATTTTTCTCTCCTAAGTAAATATTCAAGAGGAACCAGTGCTAAAGTGCTGCAGGAGACATACATTACTTGGAAGCACAGATCCCAAGTGAGTTTTGAACAGAGTAGATATATCTATGCTGGTGGCATCTACAACAATGATCCAATTCTGGAGTCCCAACATTTTTTCACAAACAATCCCAACTAATTACTGGCTATTCTAACCATTTTAAATTAAATCATTTATGTGTGGAATACAAATAATATAAAAAAGATGCCTTAAATAAGACAGTGTATTATGTACCAAGTACATTTTGTAACTGATTGCTGTATGCTTGTAGAATACCATCAATTGTCCCTAAGTAGAAAAAAACCCACTGAGAAGTATTATTTATAAAGCTAAGATATGGGAAATTAAATTTCAATAATTTCAAAGTTGACTAAGAACAGAGAAAATCCGCCATTTAAAACAAAAAATTCCATCTAATTTAACACATCAAAAGTAGCACATGCTTAAAAATAACAACAGGATGCTAAGAATTAAACAACCAATGAATAAAACAATTTTAAATTCTAGAAATACTTAAATAATACCTAAATAAGAATTCAATTACTAGCATATAAGGATATAAAATTTTTCTACAACTTAATATGGTTACCTAGTCCTTTCAAAACTATCTGGTATTATCACACTTCTTTTATACTAATCCCAGTCAGTACCTGATTTTGGACTATATCTGTCATTGCAATTAGCACAGTAAAATGACATGTATTTTTTTTTAATTCCCTTAATTATCTTTCTTAATTCTCTTAAATAACTTTTATTTTAATGTTTACAAGAAATTTTTACTGGAAATTATAAATTTATTTTTAAAATTTCTTTTGACTCTTACAGAGAACCTACCTGATCTCTAATAAATTGAAGTGTTTAATGTCTTTTCACTATATTTTCTTTTTAAC